ATTTTATTAATAAATAATAATTAAAATTTATTATTAAAATAATATTAATTTTATTTTATATTTTATAATTTTATATTATTAATTTTAATATTATTTAAAATTTTAATATAATTATAATATATATTTATTAAAATAAAATAAATTTTAATATTATTATTAATTAATTAAACATTTTAATTTAAAAATAATTTTATATATATAATTTTATTAAAATTAATAATAAAAAAATTATATAAAAAAATTAAAAATTTTCCGTTATTATAATTTTAACATTATTACTTTTAATAATTTATTTTTTTAAATATTAAAAAAAAGAATTTTTAAAAAGATAAAATTATTTTTTATTTAATTATATAATAAAAATTGCAATAATTTAAAATAAATACGTTTTAAATAAATAAAATAAATAAATTATTAAATAATAAAATAATTATTTATATAATTTAAATTATAAACTTTAAATTTATAACCTATTTAAATTAAACATAAATTATAAAATATATATATTTTATATTATTATTTTTTTTATTAAAAAAATTGGATAAATATATCTATTATATATAAACCATAAGTGTGGGGCATATTACCAACCACTTGATTTACTAGCCCCATATATTCCAGCAGATGGTATTAAGTCGTCCCGACCATACCATTAAGATTAAACTCCAGCGATACCAGGGAATCATAAGACTGGAAGGAGAAAATCAAACTGAGTCAATCAGAGACGACATATCCTTGGTGATACAAAAGCACATCAAAGATTTGGAAAGCCAGGGAATCCCACCGGAAGTAACGAAAGGATTTTCAGCAAGTCTTGAGCTGCACGCTGACAACACATTCCTTTGGGTGGCATTGATTATTGATGTCCTGAAAAAGCACCTCGAAACTGGGGGAGGAGTGTCAAGAGGCGATATAGAAGACATATTGCGTGATCGTGATATATTTTCTATTTACCGGCGGATGCTTAGAAAGCTTGACCAGCGGCGCGATAATGATGCGCGTAAAATGTTACAAATCATCATTGCTGCGAAAACTGCCTTCAGCATAGAGCAGATGGTTGCGGCCCTAACTGTACGGCCATCGCATACTACTTTACAGGACATAGAATCAGATTTCAAATCTCCGCTAGAGGGCTACGTCAAAGCCCTCTGTGGGAACTTTGTGAGGGTTATTGATGGGGAGATACACCTGGTTCATCAGACAGCCAGAGAATTTCTCCTTGAACAAGCCCAAGGGGACAAAGTCTTAGAGGATGGATGGCAGCACTCAATATCTATGATTGAGTGTAACAGAACTCTACTGCGAGCCTGTACCCTATATATGATTTGTGGGAAAAGGTGCAACTGGAACGCATCTCTCTATGATCGAGATTTGAAAATCGCAACGAAATGCCTAATTAGGGACCAGCCATTGCTCAAGTATGCAATTTTAAATTGGCGTATTCATATCGATGAATCCAATTTAACTGAAGACATGACCCTGTTCAAACAGGTTGTCGAGTTTTGTGAGCCCAGTGCTACGAATCGTGAGAATTCTCGATGGTTGATAACGCCATTTGACGTCGATCTCTTGGGACGTGAGATTTTTGATTCCTACTATGACTACCTTTATATCCCTCCCTACTTCGAATACTTTAGTCTCTATTTTACGTTCACTTACTTTGAGAGACATGCAATTATGGTTTTCGTTATAGCGCCTGTTATAATCATCGAAAACTTCTGCAGACTTCATGATTGAAATACGGCTGAGGATGGCCAAACTCTGCTGCATGTTGCAACTGGAATAGGGCGTCCACTCGTTTGCAGTTATCTGATAGACCATGGCTGTGATGTCAATGTCAGCAACAGAAAGCTACAAACTCCCTTGGATATCGCCGTTAAATATGGCAATTTAGAAGTAGCCAATACTCTTCTGAAGGCTGGGGGTATGGTCCATTTGTCGAAAGATGAAGAGGTCTCATACTATGAGCATTGGCGGAAAATATTCCAGTCTTTTGTTGAAGAATGGCCTCACCTAATTACGTCCTATCCAGAAAGGAGCTGGATCTCGGAAGGGCAATTGGATTTCATAGGGCTCCAAGGTCATATCTTAATCAACAATTCTATTGACACGAACTCAAGGGTCACATCTGACGTTTTGAAATATTTGTTTCGAGGTAACCAGGAAACAGTGGACTGGATCATGACCAAGAAAAGTGACATTGATGTGAAGGGCGCTATTGAAACATACAATCTGGACACCTATTTTCAAAAGGAGAAGTTGATAGCGGGTGACTTTTCTTATTCCGCAATCCTGGAAGCCATCAGAGCGGATCCAATACCGGTCATAAATGCTTTGATTCGTCTCTCTGGCGATGACAAGAAGACGGAGGCCCACATCATCGCCCAGTATGGTGATGCCAGTATGATGAGTATGTTCCATGCATCCAACTCAGTTCTCAGAACTATTGACGGAGAGGGGAAAAGACCGCTCGATTACTTGTTGGGCCGCAAGACGATGCATAATACGGTTATTCAGCAATTCGTACCTGAGGACGAGGATAGTGACATCGAAATCAACTCAGAGAGCAGAGAGTACGATGAGTCAGTTGATAGTTTGACCTAGACTTCACTTAACTTGATATAGCTTAAGTATATTGTGTCACATATAAGGCGTAATTGCTAGTTAGCAATTATGGCGTCGTTTTTGCGATATAATATTGTAAATATCTTTTTATTGTGTACTTCGTAACGATTACATAAACTGAGAGCATGCGTATATATTTTCGAGACACATTACGACCAACATAACACGCCTAATAGATAATCCTCATAATTGTTTCTCTTATTCCTCTAAGATGATTTGAACTTACCTTTGCCTTAAAAAAAGCTGTTGCTCTCCGTAGTCGACCGAGAAACCATGCTGAATTAAAGCTCGTAAAGACCATACTTAAAAATTCTTTTATATCTGGAAGAGCTTATTCCTGATCACGAATGAGAGTCTCGTACCGTGAACTCTTAGGATTGACCTGAATGGGGGTGCCCCCCCGGAAAGCTCAAAATTTCGGTTTCTAGTGTTGCAAGTCGTTTCACGTTATGCGTCGCCGGGGATTGATACAAAATTGTTGGATCGGTCTCGGAATCGGTTTTATGTCACTGCTCTTTAAAATAAGTTGCAATCATGCTTAACTAAATATTAGCCACTATAAATGTCCAGTATCTAGGTTCTGGCCATTGACTTACTCGCGATGTCTGTGTATGAAGGCTATTATATTGCGACGAATATACGAGTGACTTGTCGTGGGGAGGTCGTGGCCGCACCGCTAGGTAAGAAGCATTGCTGCTCTCATCTGGTATTCGTTCGAGATTGATGTGGAGGAAAGCAAAGTAGATGATGTATCAAATGCTCTTACAAATTCGAACTTGGTCACGCTGATGTCTTCAGGATGGAGCGATGGATCGGGGTTTCTAATACTAGTTATGGCTCCGAAATTATTGCATGGCGAATCGTGGGCTTCGAGCTTTACGCGTGTATGGTCGGGGCCCTTTTTAAGGGGCAGTTTATATGAAGAGCTCCTACAAGACTTGTTAGTAGATATAATTGTAAATATTGACAACATTTCTTACATCTTATTAATAGTATCTGCGTTATCTGTGAATTCGCGTGCTTTAACTAGGGATTCAAGTTATCAAGTTCAAAGCCAGATGGGAATTACTTAAGTGAAACCGATTAAACAGGTTTCTGTCTTAGGTAGTTAACCACTCACACGCGACTGTGGCTTGTTTCTTCGAAGGTGGCTCGCTGGACTCCGTAAGGGTACTTTATTACTTCTGAGACTCATGATGCTGTTAAGCCATTGAGCACAGCCTCGGTGGTGGCCTTGGGGCGGCAGAATATGTGACACGTAGCGCGATGAGAATGATGAGCACTCTTGTAAGCTTGTAAATATTCACATACGAAATATACCTATACAGCGAGACTACGGCTTCATGTAAGACCAAGGAACAGATAGACAAATAACATTATTTTAAGGATTACTATACTTTACAATGCACATTTTTCAACACACGAAATCCATGCAATGGTTATATACACTCGAAGTCATCAGAAGCTTCTACTTAATACTTAAGTGAAACAGGATCTCTTTCTCACGATTTTGCAGTGAAGACATCTTTATACACTTATTTTCTCTGGGACATTATGATAAGGCTGAGAGAAGATGTTCGAAACCCAAGGTATCCGAGGTACCCGGGTACTGAACAATGCGTGGTCTCGGATAGCCGCATATGCATCGGGGGTAGCATCGGCTCTATAAATAGGTAGGTAGGCACCTAAGATACCCAATGTCGAGATGCAGATGTGGTACTCAGCTCACTCATCCAACCTAAAGTAGCAAACGGTTGCTAAGCTCTTTTGATAACAATACCTTCTAGTTTCTGTATTAGTATACTTTTAACTACTACTTTTCGTCATGCCCAAAAACCGAGAAAGTCGTAAGACTAACCAAGCATCCAAGTTTTCACACTTATTACACTTTATCCAAGGAGGTGACGATGATGGCGAAAATCACCACTGGAGCACTAAGCAGAAAGAAGAGGCGTTTGCAAACACTCCTATTTTCACCACAGCCGTGGAAAAGTTTGTTCACTCAACCTTTCAAGTCTCATCGTCATACTTAACTACTTCGACTTCGACTGATACATCCTCTGCCTCGGTCTACACCGCCTTCTCTACCTTATCTAACAATCCGGCCTCGGAGCTCGTTCCCCAATATGGATTAATTGGTATTCGACAAGATTCCGCAGACGCAAATGTCTCGGCAGAGGATCGCCTTGTTTTGGCAAATATGAATGTTCCATGGTCGGCCTTCATATGCGGATCTCAGGGCGCAGGGAAGAGTCACACATTGTCCTGTTTGTTGGAGAATGCGCTTATTTCAAATAATGCGGCCGGTCGCCTTCCTTACCCCTTAGCTGGGATGGTCATGCATTATGATAAATATACCAGCTATTCGTCGACACAAGTATGCGAAGCAGCATACCTAGGCTCTTCGGGAATACCTGTGACAATACTAGTATCTCCTTCTAATCTTTGGGCTATGCGAAACCTATATGGCAACCTCCCTGGGGTAAATGTTAAGGTTTTACCTCTTTATCTAAACGAGGATCAACTTGATATCTCAAGAATGCTCAAGCTGATGGCCATAGACCCAGCAGCAAAAGACACGCCTCTATACATGGAGGTGGTGATGAATATAGCCCGAGAAATGGCAATGGAGGGTCCAGGTGTCTTTACCTACTCGAGATTCTGTGAGCGCCTTTCGAAGATTAAATGGGTCAAAGGTCAAGAGGCAGCCTTAAAGCTGCGTCTACAACTTCTCGACGCCTTCATATCTCCATCGTCGACAACAACTGCGAAGAGACCGGCCCGGGCCCAAGAGGATATCTGGGCATTCGAACCGGGCTCATTAACTATAGTTGATCTGAGCGATCCTTTCCTCAGTTCCGACGACGCATGCTCTCTGTTTTCTATTTGTCTCTCGATCTTCCTCGAAGAGAGAAATAAATGTGGACGTATCGTGGCGCTAGACGAAGCACATAAGGTAAACTCTGCCCCCCCATGTCCGTGAATTATGGAAGCTAACTAGAAGTAGTTTCTCACTCAGGCAGGCGAGGCGAAGATTCTCACTGGCGACTTGCTTTCTATAATCCGACAACAGAGACACACCGGCACACGAGTGTTGATAGCAACCCAGGAACCCACGCTCTCCCCAGAGCTAATAGATTTATCGAATGTAACCTTTGTCCATCGATTTCTCTCGCCGAGTTGGTACGAAACGCTCAAAAAGCACCTTGCCGGTGCGAAGGAACAAAACTCGGGTGATGCAAGCGTACTTTTCGATACAATCATTGCCTTGCAAACAGGAGAAGCGTTACTCTTCTGTCCAACTGCGCAGGTAGATGTTGCTAAGAGCACCAACGGGCTCAAGCAAGTAAAGCCCCTTGGAAATGGCCATGTCAAGATCAAAATGCGTAAGCGATTGACTGTAGACGGTGGCAGAAGCATCATGGCTACCGATGCTTTAGTCGAAGCGCTCGAACGCAGTAAAATCGACAATGTGTTGACGGGTGATGCTATTCCGAAATTACAAAACGATAAAAATGGCCCCGCGAAGGTTGTTGGGACCCTTGGTTCAAGTGCGAAGCCGAATGACCCGAATAAAAGCGTGCCTAACGACACCTTCAAGACACCGTCTACGACGGCTGGAGCAGCTTCAAATACTAATACGCCCACAGCCAAGGCGCCATCAGGAGGCCAAATGAAGAAGGAACTAAAGCGTCAAGTCCAAGAGATGTTCAAGGATGGTTCATGGACTTCATTCAAGGATTTAACCAAGAGCCAGAAGGCTCAGCTTTTCTCTGGCGTCGACACTAGGTTCCAACTTCCGCCTGGCACAGCTGCAAAGAATAAAATGTTGAATTCATTCTTCTATATCGCATTAGACAAAGTCATGGTAAATATTTCAGTCTTACTTTGCTATCGTAGAGTGTCAATTACTGACCTGTCTCTTAGGATAAGTTAAAAGAATCTAAGGATAAGGACTGAAGCATAACAGTCGACGCACTAAGCTATTTATTGTGCCAAAGGCTTAATAGTACAGGATAGATTATACATATCAAATGTACAGTAAGGCTATTTTGCTTCGCAGTAAGGGCAATGGGTTAGGACATAACAGACACACTCGGGGGTAGCCCTTTCTATGCCAAGTAATTAGTCTCAATTCGCCCCCTATTTGTGCTATAATCGATTATGGGATTATATAGTACATTAGGTAGCTAAATGTGAACGCCTAATTAGAATGGCGAGACACCATATACACCCAAAACTTTCCCGACGTCACTGTCCTTCTCCCCCTTTACCACGGTAGCAACGCGTTCACCCCCCTGCCAAGGTTCAGCGGCACCCCTTCCTCGAAGTGAAGCAGGATCACCGGTAAAGTTAGTAGCGCACAGCCCCGGATCTGCTCCAAACACAAGGAAGCCCTCTGGCTTTAGTCGAGCGTAGTACTCAACCATCAGCATATTCAATGCTGCTTTGCTCGTGCGATACTCTACCGCCCCCGGATTGTAATAAGGCGAGGTCGGGTCCGAGGCATGTGTGATGGAGCCCGGCCTCGATCTGACAAAGATAAGGCGAGGCGGTTTATGAATGGCCTTGCGAAGTAGATCCAGGAAGGCTTCTGTTAAGCTCTGATAGACTTCTTACTACGGTTCATTTTAAAAAGCTGCTGTATTGAAAGTACTCGAATATATAGTAGACTTAGATTGTCTAACTAATTGTCTTTAGGTTATAAGATCACTTGGCCAACTACACTACTGATAACTACCTAAATTGATAGAGGGCTAAGTAGATTTTATATAGGAAGTCTGTCTTACCCCTTTTCTAAACCCCATTAAAGTCCGTTAACCTCTATAAGAGCATAACTCTACCACGTTTATACGCCCCTAGGTACTTTGAGAAAATACGACTATAGAGAGGTGTTAACTCTAAGGGGATAGGTGTGTACCTGATGCCTGTGGGGTACCCCGCGGACGCTACGTCAAGCCGATCCACATCGGACAGCAAGCACCTAAATTAAAAGCTGGGAAGGTAGGAGCCGATCCCGAAAACGGTGACTTATACATCTTCCCTCTTTCAAAATGAGCGCTACAAACGGCATCTCCGGAACGGCCAAGAGAGACGACTCCCCTCCCCTCACGGAACTCGAAACGGCCGAGATCCTACAAAGCATCCGCAACTCCACCACTAGACCTTCGACCTCTTTACCCGCCGATCTCGCCCTCCCACTTGACTTACACCGCCAGCACCAACAGCCACCGGCCGAATCCCCCGATCTAGCTTCCTACTATTGGGATGCGTCGACGATGGCTCCGCTAAACAAAATATCGGCGGTTAGTATAAGCTATAATCTAAGCACACCCATTCTTTAGTAGTGGGGTGAGAGAAAACGGAGGGAAAAGATGATTTAATTCATGCTCATGCGCTCAAAGGCTGCCATTGCGCGTCTGCGCGCTTATAAGCCCCCGCCGTTTCCGACCTGGGACCATCTGCCTGTAAGCCGACGCGCCGCGGTGCTGATCCTGCTATTCGCGGACCGCAGAGGTGACCTGAGAGTCGTGATCACGATGCGGGCGACAAGTTTGCGCAACTTCTCTGGTACGACAAAATGCGAACCCCTCTCTGAGAAATGAAGTAATCTGAATCTGATACGTATTGACATCCGAATAGGTCACGCGGCTTTTCCCGGTGGGAAGGCAGATTCATTATCAGAGTCGCCCTGTATGTGTAGAGACAACTACGGCCAAACCCATAAAAGACCCCAAAGAACTAATATGTTCCCTCCCACGTGTAGACCAAATAGCTCGTCGCGAAGCCTGGGAAGAAATCGGTCTTCCCATGGACGACGCCAAGATCCCGAAGCCATTTCGAATAGAGCCGCTCTGCTGCCTGCCGTGTAGTCTCGCAAAGACCGAAATGGCTGTGCGTCCGTGCGTAGCGTTCCTACATGCAGACGACGTACCTGGAAAGCCGAAAGCTATGGTAGACGAGAGCATGATACCTCGGCTAGATGCGAAGGAGGTAGCGGCGGTTTTCAGCGGACCGTTTCACAATTTCTTGAAAGCAAAGGACGAGCCGCACGAGGGAGAAACGATACCGCCCGGTGATTGGTATGACGGGTACTGGCATCACTGGCACGATAAACCGTGGAGGGTGCATAACTTCCACGTGCCAGTAAATAACCAAAAGGTTACAAAACCAAAGCTTCGAGATGGCGGACAAGCCGTGTTGGCCGACGTACTAGAAGAGGAGGAAGATGCGATCCAGCGTTTTCTAGTATGGGGTCTCACGGCACGAATGTTGGTCGATGCCGCGAGAATCGCTTATGAGGAAGAGCCCGAATTCGAGCATAATTCTCACTACGGCGACGAAGAAATCATAGCGATTCTAAACGACGCGGGCCGCCTCCCCGATAAGAAGACAAATGAAGTAGGACAAGAAGCTATTAAAGACGAGGTTAAGGATGCCAAGATGTAGACGGATGCGATATGCTGTCCTTGCATTATTGTAGATTCATAATGGGCTCAAGCCGCCTGTATCTGTAATTCCCGACTGCTGGCAAATTCTTATAACGCATCTAAGACTTGATCAATTCCCTCTAGTTGTAGAGCTCCAAATCAGACTCTATATAACTTCTTCGCACTTCTAGTTATCCGCCCGCCCGCATGCATAATACTAGCAGTGTAATGCTAGTGCTGGATTATCCCGCATCTAATGACAGGCCGTCTCCTTTACGGCTTTCGTATGCGAACCGAAGAAATAGTATCCGAGGCCGGCTCCGATAGCAACGGAAAACATAACGAAGCCGTTGTAGGTCATAAATAGTAACCTGTTTATTAATTGCAGATGATTAATATGGAGATTATTCGGGGTTTAGAGCAGATTCCTCACTCACATGATCATGAAGGCGTAAAAGTTCTGTACGGCGTAGAGCACCGACTTAAAAACATGGGCCCGTCGCCCAATCGCATCGGCCTGGCTACTTCGTCCTACCCCAAGTAATGCCGCGCTCTCAGTATTTGATTCGACTTGATCGTTCGCGATAGCAACATCTTAGCCCAGGATTTCCCCAAAGGCGTGCCAACAAAATGAAATTGTATTTGCGTAGGTGCGCGGATCGTCGGATGCAGCAGCAGCGCAAGTCGTACCACGATACTACAGTTATACGACAGGCGCCGACTGCTGCCATTCCAGGACAATGGGGAGGGAGACGGATGTAGGAGAGGTCTGGATCGGGAAAGGGTAGAGGAGGCGGTGGATGCTGTACTCACTGGGTGCAGCGTCCTGCTTGGCGGCTATCGAGGACTCGTAGCGTCGGATACCCTCGCGGAGGGCTTCGTAACCGGCGCTGATAGCGATAACGGCCAGCAAGCTGAAGATCAGCGAAGCCGTGCCACGAATATGCCATTGGCGGAATACGATGCAGAGGTTGGTCGTGTCCCATGTGAAGAGCATCTGTTCGAATTAAAACGCCAGAAGCTAAAGGTTAGCCTACATTGATCTTAAAGATTTCCTTGTGTTCGACGACGCCCAATAGAAAAGATGGCAGAGCCAAAATGGATGTTGGTGGCGCAACTCGAGCCGTGGTGCATGCGGCTAGAGAACGCTCCAAGCATGTAGGTACTGACATTCATGTTGCACATCGGCATGTCGCCGTGTCCACCATCTCCATGACCCATATCGCCATGGTCCATATGTCCGTGATCCATATGCGAATGGTCCATTGGTGAGGTTACGGAAGTTGGAATGTGGGATCCTCGAAAGGGATCGGGTATAAATATAAATAGGATTAGGAAAATAATAATAGAAAGATGGTAAGGAGCTAAGAACGATGAAACACAAAATAGAGGTTTAAAAAATCAATTCAAATGGCACTTCTTCGATGCTTAAATCCTAGGAAACTTGCTTAAACGTGCTCACTTCCAGGTGACAAACGTGACGATGGTCTCAGATGGGATGATTTGATAGGTTGTTTCTATGTAATCGACCTCAGAGCTTCCGTAACCTGGTACGACGCCCAGATTAGGTAAAGCGCTAATGCATGCAGCCTTTAGTTTAAGCTTATGTACATGCATATGTACATATATTGATATACTAAGAACATTGTCAATTAATAAGAATTATGTAAAAGAGGTACGTATGCATAAATCAATTATGCACGAGATTTCATCCTTCTTATCTTCTACTCAGGTAACTACTTCGTAATAGGGGCTATAGACTTTTCTTCTCCATCTTCCCTAAGATCTATTGGCCTCTGATCCTTCTTCTTAATAGACTTCCACTCCATTCCACAAGCGGCTACGATGCCCAAAGTAGTAGGTAGAATTCGCGTGCCCGAGCTAAATGCTGTTACGCCCTGGATGGCTTGAAACCATATTGGAAACTAGTCTTTTGTCAGTCCTCGATCAATTTCAGCCAGTCCGCCACCATGTACTAGCTGCTAATTGTTCTTTCCGTGGGGTTGAAGGAATAGCATCATAGCCAAGATGGCGCTCCCGCCCAGAGGAAAATTGATGTAAAAACACCATCGCCATGTCGCCGTGGTAGTAAAAGCACCGCCTAAGAGAGGAGCAACTACCGACGCAATGCCGTACATGCCACTGTACGAACTGACGAAGAGCGGCCTCCTTTCCAGAGGAAGAGATGCTGCTAGGATACTAGGTAAAACAATATGAATGCGGGGAACTGAAGACCAGGCCCAAGTGCGTCTTACATGATGAAACCAGCATTAATACCAGCACTACCTAAGCCGGCACAAGCTCGACCGACTATGAAGGCTATCGAAGTAGATGCTACGGCGCAGAGCAAAGAGCCAAGCTCGAAAATGGCAATGGAGATAAGAAATATGAGCTTTATGGAATAAAACAAAAATAAATTTCCGTATACTAGTTGAAATGCCGCAGATGTCATGAAGCTACTAGCGGTAAATGAGTGAGCTCGTAGGTTGGTGCAAGATGGCGTACTATGCTGATCCGTACCAACCGACATCGTTGATGGACTTGAATTCATCGGTAATTCTAGGGGTAGCCGTCGTGATGATTGTTTCGTCCTGGTTAAAGGTACATAAGCATGTGCCTAGGAGATCGTGTAAAACATCTGGTATCATCGACTAATCTAGCCATCACTTACTAGAGCACATAAGAAGACTGATATGGCCAATGAAGCAATAATTACCGCTAGCTTAATGCCTTGAGGGTAAAATTGGTTGAGGTCCTCTGTAAGATCTGGCGCTATGGCCTCTATTTGGCTATCGCATTTGAGTTTCTCGGATTTCACCGGCTGTACGGAAGTCCCCATCAAAAGTTTTGTCCATAGATGCCACCTGACAGCTCCTGGAACAGCTGTCTAAGAACTGATACCATGCGGCAGCCAAGATTCTAGATGTATATACATATTTACCTTTTACAACATACTAAGTCTTATCCTTAATTTACTAAAAAGAAAATATCAAAATATATATTTCATAAAGATAAAAGCTCTTTTACACTTATATATAATCTTCATTATTTAAAATTAAAAGTTAAAGCTGTTATGTGTAAGCAAAAATAGTATAGCTTGAATAATACATTCAGTATGTGGCCTACAACTGCTGCCAAGCCTTGTTAAAGCTGGTCAAATCTGACAGGGGCTGACCTATGGACAAAACTTTTGATGGGGACTTCCGTATTTCTCGTGTACTCATCTCGAGTACAATTGGGAGGAAGATAAAAAGGAAAATTTAAAGCAACTAGGTCATTTCTAAATTATAGATTATAAGCACATAGGCTAGAAAATCATTATTCTTGTTGATATTTTAAGATGTTACCCTGAACCATGGGTACCTAGGTAGGTAGGGACAAGGCAAGCATACATTCCTAGAAACACCCTAGGCGTATTTATATAGTTATAGATCCATGTTAAAGCCGAATCTGATACGGACGTTATCGACTGTAGCGTTTAGTGGTGGGGTCATTCAATCCTGACGTTATACAAGCGGAAACACGCGGGGGAATAGAGTAAAGAGTTGATAACATAAGTCCCCATCGGCTCTTATGACTAATTGTCACCTTGAATGCTCAAGACAGTTTAAACCCGACGGCTCCGTCTACTAAAAACCGGCATGAAAAAAGCCTGGGGAAAGAATCGCAACCTTTAAGTTCAGCGACATAACTTTCATAGGTAGAGGAGGAAATATCCACAGTCAACATCCTTCCTTTTAGCCAACCAAGATTCCAGCCAAGATTTCAACCAACCAAGATGCTCTCCGCGCCAGTAAATCTCCCAAAATGGTAAGCCAGCAAGGTTCTCATGTGGCCTTGGCCCGACTAATAGTAGCTAAGGCTTGAGGAGAACGCCCATCTCCTAAAGCCACCCGTTAACAACTACTGTGTCTACAACGAAGATTTCACAGTTATGGTGAGCAAAGGCATTTATCAAACCTTAAGCCTAGCTTTATGATTATAAGCTAACCCAATCTACGTCCTTGCTAGATTGTTGGTGGTCCCAACGCTCGGACTGACTATCACATCAATCAGACCCCAGAGTGGTTCTACCAGTACAAGGGGGCTATGCTGTTGAAGGTCGTCGACGATGGTAAATTCAGAGATATTATAATCCGCGAGGGAGATATGTTCCTCTTGCCAGGTAATACACCTCATAACCCGGTGCGGTTTGCCGATACCGTTGGCGTGGTACTCGAGCAGAAGAGGCCTCAGGATACCATCGACCGTATGCGTTGGTACTGCCAGAAGTGCGGCGAAATCGTCCACGAGGCTGCTTTCCACTGCACGGACCTTGGAACTCAGATCAAGGCCGCCATTGAAAAGTTCATGTCGAGCGAGGAGACTCGGAAATGTGGAAAATGCGGCGAGATAGCCAATTCCGTACCCAAGCCTGGGACCATCATCGACCCAAATTTGGCGTAAGGATTAGTGTTATGTATTTGGTCTCTATACATTAGGTACGGCAATACATATATTTGAACCTGCGGATACCCCTCCTTTAACAAAGTTCTATCTCGTGCCGGACCAACGTGTTCACGGACTTTTGGTGGTGTTTAATTCAGAAGAGTCATAAGGTACAAAGGTACGTAAGCTAAATAAGAGTCTACCAGGCGCTGAGACCTCAAAATATATAAACGTATCCGTCACCTACGCATGTTTGATAGCTACTTTAACTTTCACGGGATATATAAACTGCATCAGCACGACCACTTGATTTGGTATGGGGAGATATATCCTCTCTCCGGGCACTTCCTTAAATACCTTTTCGCTCCTTTGATCGAAGACATCGATTCTCTCAAGATATACGACTAGGATATTTATGGTTGAACTAAGTGAGTCAAATGATAACGAGGGATCTTGAGCCGAGTGCTAGCCCTTGCCTGGAGTGACGAATACCCTCACTACCGCTCTTTTCATAAAGCTTCAAGATTTAAAATTCCTGCTATAAAACATTAGCGACTATGTCGAATACCGAGACCTCGAGTTTGTTACCAAGTTTTAAACGTCTTAGTAGGGCGAGAGCAGTCGTACGACCCCCTATACCATCAAATCTCACCGTTATCCCTGGAGAATTTTCACTGCTGGCGTCGCTACCGAGAGAACTCCATCTTCACATCATATCTTTCCTGAGGTTCGAGGACGTGACTCGCCTTCGACGGACGTGCCGGCACTACTACTACTATTTCACACGTGATAGAATTACGAAGCAATTCTGCAGAAACGGACTGCCTACTCCCCACTTGCGCGGCTGCTGCGCCAGCTGCTTTCGAAGATCCGACTTTACCATGGTTCTTGACGAGGTACATTGGCAGAGCCCGTGGAGATCGATGTGCTTCGAGTGCTTTCGCGTAGAGCGGAGTCCGGCGTACTACGATAGAAGAAAGTCTACAAGAAAGTCTACGAAAATTACCTTCGCGGATGGGGAGAGCGGCCACGTCTGCTCTTACTGCGGCTGGCCCGTATATCGGGAACGAATGCACATAACTTGCTACCAAAATGCAAAGAAGTCGTATGACCGTTTCCTCAAGGCGAAGGGGCGGGACTTCCTTAACGCTGTAGTAATCATGCCGCTCCTCACCGTTATATGCTCTGAGGTGATGCCTATAGCTGGTCTGCCCTGGGGATTAGGGTCCTTTCAGTATATACCTCCGGTGGTAAGTTCCTTTGAATATGTCTTGCGCACGTTAGTGGCCGCACGATTCGCTATGACAGGGGCTAACCTTTAACAGGTTGAGGTTTACGCATTCATTCATAGTGTCGTAAAAATGGCGGACGAAGAAGATCGCCCGAATCCGCAGCTCTTCTGGTATCCCTATATTGCTATGGGCCCCGTATTAGTTCTCCTTTGGCTGCTGTTGGTGATCCAAAGCATATATGGGATGCAAATAAATTGGAACGATAAGAACGCTGTGGAAGGTGGTGTATTTGTGGTCACTTATTTCTCCGTTAGGGTGTAAGTTACTATCACAACTTTATGCTAATATCTTGTTATAATTATCTATGCTAACACGCTACGGTAGTTTGATACACGCTATGAAGACCATAGGTATGGCTATCTGGGCTTCAGGATACGATACTAGAAGCTGGTCTCTTCCGAACTTGTCTCCTAAACAAAAGTGGCTCCACGATTTGTATTTGTGGTGGGTAGATTGGTCGACGGTCAGGAAGCCTTCGATGCGAATGTTAAGAAGAAGATAGGTAGTAGTCCATATATGCGCACGCACGCGCAAAATAAGTGCCATTAGAATAATACCTAAGAGGTACCTACATACCTACCTAGGTAGGTAATCAATAAGCTCTTCGTCGTTTATCGACTCCAACCCTAACTAATCTAGTAGAATGCATTCTCCTGAGGTGAACCATAGGTGTTGGGTGAAATATAGGTTCCCTCGGTTGGGGGATAAGGGGACTCTAAAATTACTCCAGATAGGGAACTCTCGCAGCACTGCCATGAGTTACCATATAGACGAGCGCAGCCACGTTTCCATCGCTCGTAAAGCATGCTCTGACAGTCTTTGCTGTTAAACGCTCCCCAGGTAGTACATTTGATACCAGCTCCGACGCGTGGTAGGCAAGGTGATGAAGTGTAGTAACGATGTCATTTGTATGCCTTAAATCATATGGGTCTTCAATCTTCTCCAGCCCTTCGATAATACAGTTTATATAAGGCGGAGCGAACGATCGTACATCTCTCATTAATGAAATCGCAGTGTTAATATCCACTCCAGGATTGGCCACCCTTTGGAATCTTTCAATGGACAGATCGATATCTGTGTATATAACTGAGGGCAGGAACGAATAGGCAAGCTGTGAAATGATGGATCTAACCATATCTAATAGCATCTCGCGTTTGGAGGGTCCCGGTTGGTCGTGGAGTACCAACCGCCGAAGAGAGTAAAAGTAGGACACGTTTACGATCCCTGCGTGGTCACATAGCTTCTTAGCATATATAGCTTCTAGCGTTTGTTGAGGAAGAGGACTCCTTATTCCAGTAGCAGAACGTTCGATCCAGATTGTATCTTCATGGGGAGATGTAAGCCAGCGGTGGATTCGCGATTTAACATGTTCCAGAATGAATAGCTCCAAACCCCCATTGTAAGCAACAGGATTTATAACATTCAAATATTGGCTAATGTGCTCAATCTGGTACAGACTGAGAGGCTGTACGATTTCTTCGCGGTTATACCGATTGTAGTTCAAAAGGTGATCCATTATCTCCGCTTGAATTGAACGTGGGCGGTTGGTACCTATTTCTTCAGGTTTATTGCCGACAAGTCGTGAGGGGGTGCACAATGTGAGAGATAATATTCGTCCTAGATATGTCTAGATATGTCCTGGTAGAATATTTGATGTTTGTTCTTGCAGCATCTGTCGAATGACTTTACGATTGCGACTTCTATTCACCAGCCTCTGGGAAGCTCTTTCTTTTAATATTTTTGCAACTCTGCTCTTACGTATCACAGTAATGACTGTTTAGGTAGTTTACTTACAATTGCCCCTTCTATCTGTGTATTTCAATCATCCAAGAGAATCCCAGTCAGGAACTCAGAATCAGACTCCTAGACTTTCCTCGTCAAATCAAGCCACAGCACCATCCCTAGGTTGATAACTAAGTGACTACCTCCTGCCTACCTAGTACCAACATTATCACTCAGCGCGTCAGAGTAAGAGCTACCTACACAACCAGTAAGCATCTCATCGTATATCTATGAGAAATATTTTTTCATCCGAAAATAAGCTAGAATTATGTCAGCAGCAACTAAAGGTTGGACAAGAGGTTTTGTAAGCAAGGGATACGATTTGCGGAGTTTCTGAAGTTAGTTGGCTGCAATAAAGAAAACCAACCATGTTGTGCCACCAACTCGAGTGCGCCTCGACGAATCATAATTAATAATTACACGTCTAGAATATGGAGCGATTCTCTTAGGTACCTTATTTGCATAATCCATCATTTCCTCTTCGGTATTGTTCTTTTCAGCTTAACTATTCTACAAGCTTGCAAAGACCGCCGAGAAACCCTTTGACAGCCTTGGACTACAGACTTGTCATTGCGTACGTGGAGACGTAACACAGAAATACCGCTGACTTATTCGAAACTGAATCATCAATACACCTCAGAGCTCTTCGTCTTAAATGTCCCAAATTCTCGAGGATTCAACACGATCACGTACCACTATGTTCGAGCTTTTCCTCCTTGCAATAGCCACGCTGCTAGTCTCGTATCTCTACGCAAGGCTGAGATATTGGCGTTTAATACAATATGCGCATATTCCACAGTTGCCAAACCACCTTCTTTGGGGACATCTCAAAGTCTTTGGCGAATTCATGTATCGCGGAATCCTTGACCGCCACCCAGGTATGGTATAGGATAAGTCTGCTTAGGAAACCCCTGTCATAAATATATTAAATGGATGAAATTGCGCTTTGAACTATTATAATTATCGAGCTGGCAGATTTCTGACAATTAGGCAGACAAAATCTTCGAGGAGATGTGGGAATCCATAGGACGCCCCCCTATAATGCTTGTAGATTTGCGGCCCATCAACCCTCCAATGGTTCTTTTACCTAGCCATGATGTCGCCGAGCAGATATCGAAGCCTACTAAGCTTTTCTCTCTGAGCGTGCCTAAGTCGCCAACTTGGACCCATATGATTCCCCTCATAGGTTCAACATCAATCCTAGGCAGAGAGGTGAGCTTAACTTCCCAATCGACGGAAATCTCTAATTTTTAGAATTTCTAGGGTCGTGACTGGAAGAATATTCGCAAAAGATATAATCCAGGGTTCACGACACAACACTTGTGGAGCCTCTTGCCCCTTTTACTCGAGAAAATGGAACCATTTTGGGACCGTCTGGATCAACTCGCAGTATCAGGGGAGGAATTTTCCCTTGAGACGTTAATATCTAACTTAACCTTTGATGTCATTGGCGCCGCCGTGTTAGCAGTCGACCTATATGCTCAGAACATAGATCCTTCTAAGCAAGGCGAAATAATCCCTTTGTTCAGACAACTCGTCCAAACGTACAACGATGATAAGAATAATCTCCCGTGGTGGATTGCCCCCTTTACAGCGTTTAAACGAAAGCAGCTAGCTAAGCGCATCGATATATTGATCAAGAATATAATACAACAGAAGTATGCTGAATTGAAAGAAGAGGCAGCCGGAAACAGATGGCAGAGCATCGTCGCGTTGGGTTTACAAGAATCTGAAGCACTGACGCCCCAGCTTCTATCGGAAACATCAGACCAAGTGCGCAGTTTTCTATTCGCAGGCCACGACACAAATACCAGCGCCCTACAGTGGGCTTTCTACGAGTTGAGCCGCACGCCCCGCGCACTCAAAGCCGTACGAGACGAACTTGACGACATTCTTGGACCTGAATCAGACCCCCAAATGATATGTGCTAGGCTTGCGCATAAAGGCGATAGCCTCCTGCCGCGTATGCACTATATCAATGCCGTCATCAAGGAAACACTCCGCCTACACCCGCCTGCTGGTACCGTTCGAATGACGCAGCCGGGGACCGGCTTCGCAGTCCGTGCGTCTACCGGCGAGGAGTACTGCCTTGACGGTCTTATAATGTATTCGTGCCAGAGCATTATTCAGCGGGATCGAGACGTCTATGGGGATACTGCGGATGACTGGGTGCCTGAGCGATGGCTCGACGAGAAAGCCAAGAGCATCCCTCCCAGCGCGTGGAGGCCGTTTGAGAGAGGGCCGAGGGCTTGCATCGGTACAGAACTCGCGAATCTTGAATCACGTGTCATAATTGCCATCGTAGCTCGTAAATACGATTTTATCAAGACGGGGTTAGGGGAAAGCGACCTCGATGAGAAGGGTCGTCCTATGTTAAATGAAAAGGGGCAATATAAATCCAAATCCGAATTATATAACGTGAGTCATATTTTTATTTCTATTATAACACATAGTTTTGCGAGGAAAGCTAGCTTACGTATTAATATGTATGGATTTAGACACGACGGATGACATCCCAACCGGTAGATGGAACAACAATGAAAGTTAAATTAGCTACCAGACTCTAGATGGATATACCTGCATCCTTTCGGACTATTATAGACCTATATAGTACCCATCTATTCTTGGATCATTCTTATATAGACGTGGTGGTGTTGAGATGATTCGCCTAGTATACTAGGTTGGGTATCTACCTGGTATTTGTGAAAAGGGGCAAGCAGTCATGATAGGAATATAGCGGTTGATTATCTACTCAGGTTAGGTACCTATTTATTAACCACGGATTGCTGCAATGCGTAATACAGTTATGTTCCAGGTCAACAAGTAGAATGATGGTCTCTACCTATACGCCGAAAGTTAATCTAAACCCTGTTAGTATAGGTAAAGACAGCCCGACGAAGGTATAACAAAAGCCACAAAAGACCCATCCTAAGAACTACGACGGAATAATCATAACATATGTACGATTTAAGTATCAGCAGGCACATACGGCAACTACTACTGAGACGTCACGGTGGGCCTGTAGTTATACTAATAGTATAGTCCGGAATAACCTCATAGTTTACGGGATAACGTTATTGTTCTCCCACTATCTCCTTGTACTATCGCGCATAAAAGTCATGTAAGAATCCACCGCACTAGCTTAGAATGAGATAGTTCATCACCGTTAACACATTCATTGTTAATAGCATTACATGCGAATTGTACTTACTCCTGACATATTCCAACAAATATTTTATCAACATGTTCACCCCGAAAGCTCTCCTTTTAGCTATTCTCCTGCTGGCAGCTGAGACGTTTGCCGCGAGGATTAACTACAGCGCTAAGTATACTGACGGAAGAGAGATCAGGCATACCCAAAAGCTGGGAACCATTCCAGACGACAAGGTCCAAGACATTATCCAGCACATGAGGACGTGGTCTAACAACCAGTATGATGCTAGGATATCTGCGCACAAGTAAGTATATCCCCCCCCCCTTAGGATTTCTCGGGAGTTAATATTCTCTTGTCAACTAGATAAAGGAAATCTTGCTCCCGAAATCTCTCCTGAACCCCTTACTAAAGGAAATAATTGCTAACTTTTGTTTCTGTAGTATGGTTATCGTTTCGAATACTGCACCGGCCAGCTCGAAGAGCGCTGCTAGCGCTCATGTCCAACAGATGCAGAGCATCGCCAATCGCCATATTCTTCATTAGGTATGTGCACTCAAATTGTAATACAATTGGTCATAGGAGGTAGGTAGGCATAGTACCTTAGATTAAGTACCTAATTAATAATATTATTTTCAAATCCCTACATTCCTTTACTATTCAATTCAAATACTCCTATTCGTTCTCTTCCGCTGCTACTAAACTTTCCTCCATACCAGAGGTGCCCGCTCTGGATGAAGTATCTGCAGAAGCAAGACCCAGCCACTGTCTTCCCTGATAAGGTCTAAGACCCGCCTGCGCGCGGCCTCGATGCTCTCGCCCGAGTATTTTTTGGCCGGGTCTACTCGCCACTCCCTAAACAGACCCACCATGAGAGCCACGAACTCAACCTGAGAGAACTTTTTGCCGGGACAATCGCGTGTGCCCTCGGACCATCCCAAGAAGACACCGCGTCGGTTCATGTCGATTTCCTCGTCGCCTGGCTTATTAGCGCCAGGGCGGATCCAGCGGGAGGGACGCCACTCAAGCGAGTCAGGCCCCCAATACTTGGGATCTGTGTGCATAGAACCGTAACTGGGCAGTATTATAGTCTTTGGGGGCAGATGTAAAGTTCTGCCGCCCACAGTAAGCGTTGTTGCTTGGTCGCCGGTCCATTTAATCGCGGGGACGATTGTATAAAGGCGTAAGGTTTCGTATAGTACAGACAAGCAACGTCTAAAACGTTGAAAGTCAGTACGATAATCTATCTCGTGCGGCTGTCGACCTCTGAGGACGGATTGGATCTCTTCAGAAATCCAATCTTGGACTTGGGGATTTGCCGCAAGAAAGTACAGGGCAAATGTTGAGCTGTGGGCTGTCGTATCATGACCGGCAAAGTTGAAGGTAAACATGTTACCGTATATTTCACTCTCGGTCAGGCCCCCTGATTGGTCACTGGCAGCTTCTTGTGAGGCGCGGACCAACAGTGTCATAAGATTATTATCCAAGTTCTCTTCCCCAGCGGCGAAAGCACGCTTCTGTTCCTCGTACATGGTGGTCATGTGTGTTTGAAACGAGACGACAGCCTCGTTGATGGTCCTCAGCTTAGAAGGGAGCCAGTACCGAGCAAGAAACGCTAACGTTTTGGGACCGAGGGCCAAGATAACTATGAGGTTCTCTAGAAGGAGACCCAAGGACACTCTGTAGCTCATAGATTGGATCTCGTCAACTGGTCTCTCCTCCTCGTGGCCGCGGAACTTAAACGACTTGCCAAAGCCAGCTCGAGCAAGTACGTTGAGCGTGAGTGTGCGAATGTCTTCAGCGCCAGATTTGACGCAAGTCTTGGAGGACCAATAACGGAGCATATCATCCGAGAGGCCGAGGGTTTCATACCACACAATTTCATTGTTCGCCTCATTAAAGCAGCGAGTTGCGACTCTCCGCTGCATCTTCCATGATTGACCCTCGGCACAAGATATGTTTGGGCCGAAGACACCAAGCACATCGTTTACCCAACATGGTCTGGGGAAGTCTACGGCCCTTTTGAAGACGTTCATAGTAGCTTCTGGGTCGTTCAGTTGGACCATGTTGTACTGGGGCGTCACCAAAACGAAGATATCTCCCATCTCATAATGAGATTGCCACCTATCCTCCAGGTCCCATCCGCGCCAATTGTAGCGAGTGATGGAATTCTCTCCAATGTACGGTAAGCGGCGGAGAAGCGAAGCAGCCTTTCGGTCGACAAGGGTCCAGAATGGATTAAAAGGACTGAAGGGGATGACACGTATAGGGATGCCGATTGTGCGGGCGGCCGCATAGTTTTTCAGTATAGACCAGATCCAATTGGTGAAGGATGCTATCACCAGAAGCGGGATTAGTGCTACCAGCACCGTGGACCAAGACATTACTGCGAGAATTGAGGTAGCGCAGGCAAGAAATTACAGCAAGTTGCATGTAAGAATAGAGGAAGAAAGAATAATGAAGAGAGGAAAAATGAAGATATAGAAGCAGTAAGGGCAGTAAGAGAGTAGGAGCAATTCCCAGGCCTGCAGAATACGGATAGATGCATGTATGTATCGGATAAGTATAGGTACGTACATGTAGGCTGTCACACATGCAGTTACCTTTCCCAAGATTGTGCTACGAACCAACATGATCCTACCTAAAGCCTTGGTAGCCCTATCTAGGTAGGTACCTAGGTACCTAGTGTAAGTCCAAACCACCGCCCCAGCGGAGCCAGCGTGCAAAGACATTAGCGCGAAGGTAGGGACTGTATAGCTTCCTCTACTCGTGGGCTTTTTCTCAGCTCTCGTGCCTGTCTGCAGGATGAGAAGACAGGCATCTTAAATGCCTTCTGAAGCAGTTTATGAGGCAATGCTCTTGGTTCTTGTTGCAATATAAAACTTAAAGGAATGAACTCTTGCTTCGTTCGGAGCTGTATGGAGATTTTACTTCATGCCTAACTTACTCTATCACCGCCACTCTTATACTTCCATTACTCTCAGCAGTGCAGACATTATGAGTACAATACTGTTTGTAAATAACAGTAGTATGATGTGCTCTCTTCCTCATGAGGGCCATGCGTTAGCCATCTCGGCCAATGTATTGCCTTATCATTTCCCCCTCAGGCAATGGACCACCAGCTCTTTACTGGGGCTATTGCTACTATTCTGCTTTACCTACATCTCTTCCTCTATTAGATTCCGAAAGGCTTTACATGACGACAATGCCAGGGAAGTACCCCTTGTGCCCTACTGGATCCCTGGGGTCTTCCACGCTTTTGCACTCTGGGACCCTGCCGACTTTGCTTTCAAATTAAAGTAACCACCCAATTTCATACCGTCATGACTTCAGATACTAACGTCTTCCAAGTAAGAGGTACGGTTCCAAGAAGCCATTCCAGGTCAAGGCCGGCTGGCTCCGCTTCTTCTTATTATCGGAACCTGAGCATGTCAAGGCTTTATTTCGAAATTCGAGACGTACCACGAACACGGCCACCGTTGCCTTCACATTGCGTAACCTAGTGGACCTTCCACATGAAACCGTCTCTCTCTATCTTGATGACCGCTCGGGAGCCGGGCTGAAGCCTCGAAAGGACAGCAATGTACCTCCCAAGCGCCGGATCACCTTTCTTGTATCTCATAACTTGCACAAGTTCCTATCCTCTCGTTACCTCGACGGTATAAGTAGGCGGTATTCTACCATGCTTCATCGCCAAATTAATGACATCCATGTCCAAAGTGAATGGGTATCATTGCCGAATCTTTTCAATTTCCTGCAGCGTACTACTCTAGTCTCTGAGATAGAGGCTTTGTTCGGCTTGAAGCTATTGGAATTGAATCCTAGGTTCATTGATGACCTCCTCATCTTCACACAGCACGTGCCTGACTTTCTTCGTCTACGGCCTTGGTGGCTTAACCCGCAAGCGTATCGGGCACGTAAGCGGCTCATTCAGTATGTCAAACAATGGCACGCATATGCACAGAAGCATGTGGACTTCGCGGACATTTTAGACGAAGATCCAGACTGGGAGCCTTTTTGGGGCTCGAAACTTATGAGAGTTCGGCAACAGTACGAACACGAAACAGGGGCAATGAACTCGGATGCTCGAGCTTGCGAGGATGTTGGCTTAATATGGGCGTACGTGAATGTTCTCTTGGTCTTACTCTTTGTAGCCCGTTGTTCTAATGAGACTCTTCCTATAGGTCGACCACAAATGTCCAAAATACAGTATTCTGGCTTTTTTTTGAGGTGCTTCGAGATCCAGATCTTCAGAGGCGGCTTATGAAAGAGGTCTCAGAGTGTAAAATAACCAACAACGAAGACGACACCACCGTCTTCGATATGAAGAAGCTCACAGCCCAACCGCTCCTACAGTCCACATACGCTGAGGTGCTGCGTTTGTACGTGGGCGTAGCAATCAGCCGCATCGCTGGATATGAAGATATCAAAATTGATGATTACACAATTCCGCAAAACAGCCTCATAATGACTTATAGCCGGGTTATGGCGCTCGATACCGACGCATGGATACGAGCAGGGAGAACGCTAAACAAGCCTCTCGATGAGTTCGATGCTGAGCGCTTTTTGGTCGATCCAGGCTGGACGCGTCCAGGACTCTCCCCCGCAGTAGACGTGAAGGATGATGGGAAGCGCCGATTTTCTACAGATGGCCTACTGGGTCTGTGGGTCCCTTACGGCGGTGGGGATCATATGTGCCCCGGACGCCACCTAGCCAAGCAACAAATGTTGGTGACATTTGCACTGCTGCTCTCAGAGTTCGACATAGAACTCTCTCCCGACTCGGCGGCTGCCGCTAAGGTGGAACCTGACATGAGGTTCGCACCCTTTGGTTCTTTACCGCCAAAGAATATAATTGGGTTCCGTATTAGGAGAAAGCAACGGGTAACTAGTTGATTAGGTACGTGATGGGATTAGATATTGTACCTGGGTATGTAATTGGCATTAACTAATCCATTTACATCTGATTGGTTGAGACTTTTGCACCATTCAACGTTTTAATTTGTCAATGTATGTACCTGCATCTCTCTTGCATTTGGCCCAGTAATTCTTAAGATTTACACAACCAACATCAAGTTACCCATATACACTAGCAGTACATACCTTATTTTAGTCTCTGAGTGTTTCCTAATTGGCCAACGGTTGCTCAAGATTCCGACAGGGGTATATCCATATGTATTATTGAACACACCACGGTAGGTGCACCATCTTTTCGACGTTATTTTGTGTCTCTCTAAATGGATGACTGGTTACAACCAAACGTAATCGAAGCGTTCTAGGGCTTGTAAGGATCTTCTTAAGGTGAAAACTTTCAAAGAGGACATCCGCATTTCTGTCATCACTTTCTGACGAGGCGTAAATAAAGTAAACAGCCCTTGTTATTTTAATTATCGGTGTTATCCCACTTGCTTGGCATGCGGTAGCCCGATGTTTTTCGCTAAGGGACGTTTCGCGGTTCCATTCCGAGTTTTTAGCTCAGAAAATAAGCCAGGTTATAATGATAGCGTTACACTACCTTACATAAACTAATATATAACTTACCTAGGAGGTACCTATTAGTTTGCTCGGTTGATCAGTAGGGATCTTATGAACACAAGCCTTCTATTTTTAAAATAACCTAGGTATTAATAGTATCTACCCTTTGTTTAGTACATCTTGATGTTAATCACCAGCCTAGTACGCCCGACCTTTAGGAATTAAGTCATATTTCTTCCCTTAAAACATAGCCAATCATCCCGCACTTTTCTCTCTACTTATAGTACGACGTACGTTTGATTGCTGAAGCAAACTATCTTGCCCTATTGACGTGTTTTAGAAGAAGGTAATATCAAGAGAGGTAGGGTTGTAGAAAGTCATGTTCGTCTTGTCACGTAGGTAGGTATATAAGTACTGACCATTATGTATAATACCGAGATGATAGAAAGAACTATTTTTTTTGGTTAGCCCTAGGTACCTGTTATCTCTTTTTAACCCCTCGCCTTTTCTTGCCCCACCCTCTTTCTTTTTGTTTAAGTCTACAACTACCTAAGATGTTGGAGAATAGGAACTTACGCGTAAACAAGAAAGGGGGCAACCCGCTTAGCTTCCCCACGAAGTGGATTGTCGGCAATGATATCATAGCCATGAACAGAGTTGTTATTGAAACATGAGGGGAGTCTTGAATTATCAACTTCATTGGAACACCCTCGTTGTTGGTAATATTTCTCAACTCTTGGTGCTGGGCGATGTCTCGCAGGCTTGTGGGGAGAGCTTGTTGGAAGTGCATAATGTATTGGATGCTTAAAGCTTGGAGATACAGGAGGTTGCCGCGCAAGTAACCAGAGTTAATAGATGAGGATGCGTACTGGTATATGTATGGTAAAATGATAGAGTGGCTTAAAGCTAGGTAGATGGTCTAGTCGTATCAATTTTTTGATGTAACTCCAACGGAATAGTAATTTCAGCTTACTGAATTGCCACACTTCCATTTCTGCGATATCGTGTATAAAATAGAAAAGCGGAGAGGTGCAATCACGAAGTACCTTCTCTAAGCCCATATCAAGACGGGCAACGTTGGTGCAAGAAATAAAAATCGGCCCCCAATATGCAAGAGCAAAAGACAAAGCGCTATAAAACTGCTTCGGCAACTAAGTCTAATTTCAGTATCCCGCGTATTGCACCCCTGCGTTGCATCCTATATTTGTCTTTTATTTGATAAAAGCCTCTATGTAAGAGGTGTGGGACAAGGCTGAGCTGAGCTAGTGTCACTGCGTGCCGCGATCATCGATGTCGTACTTGGACTTGCATATGGTAGGATATTTGATCTAGGCGCTAAGCGCTTTCTAGCTGTGTTGGTGCAACCACTCTCTTTAGACAGCTTTCGTAATTGAGTCGTCTTGATAGCAGGTTTAAATGGTCCAATTTGATGTGTCACCAAGTGTAACATAGATTTGGCCCCCAACGACCACCCCACTTGGCACATTTTAGCAATAGTGGCGTACGAAGGTCCGGGCCAAAAGTCTTGCATATGTGGAGGTCCTAAGCATCGTAATTCAACGTCATCCTTTTCTATTAATACTGTATCAGCTACCTGCTAAGCTAAAATTTGGATAGTGCCCGTACGCTAAATTTAGGTGGCTTCCCACTGTATTTATAGCGGCGTCGGTCACTACAGCCTAAATAATACCGTGCGGTCCTTTTTTTACTCACACGTGGTCTGCCAAGATTAGATGTGCAAGTCTTTTGGCCCGGACCTTCGTAACTACTGCCATAGACACGTAGGTGTACAATTTACGATATATGATACTCTTAATTTACAGTTGCGAAATTACCTGATACATCTTAAATCTGCCCTTTACTCTTAAAATATGTGAATTGGTGTATTGAACTAGAGACTCTATCTAAGTCCCCGGCGGCTTATTTGATCTCGAGATCTCAAATTCCAAGTGTTGGGTGATCTGGTTCTCGGGGCTTACAACCGTATTCTGTGACGACGTACTAATGTACGTATGAATGCCGGGTATCGGCCCGGGACCACGCGGAACCAATATGGGGTCTTCTTTCCAGATGTTCGCCTGATAGACCATGCTCCCATATCCCAACTCGGGGTCAGCATCATAGACGTGACTATTGTTGACAACCATAGTACGGCAGTGGCTGTCAAATTCGCCTCTACTATTCTGAGATACCGCTGTGAGGTCGAGCCATCTGGCTTCGTCTTCGGTATGCTGCTGCTTCCGCGAGGAACGGATGCGTGATATCATGCGAAGGTATGTCTCTGATGGGGAGAATTGGGGTTTCTTGGAGCTGCGTGTTGATGCAGTGAAAAGCTGCGGAAAGGCAGACCCGCAGCACACCATGATGGCTTTTTTGTTTTATTATTAGTATAATTCCGTAGCATAGTGAGCAAATTAAAGGGATAGCAAAATAGTGAGAGACTAAAACGTACCAACGGACGGCTCAATGGCACTCCAGAACCAGAGCCAAGTAACGTCAGGGTTGCCATCGGGTCGTCTTTCTGAATCTACCATGACCGCCCTAACGATAGCAACAACTATAGTTATGATAGAAAGCGAAAAGAGTCCGATGAGCGCTAGTTTCTTAGACCACCTTATCTGAGTGTTCCATACTAGAATTGTAGGGAGAAGCATAACTATAAAAATAATGAAAAAGTCAGCAAGCCTTTGCTTAAGACAAAAAGGAAGAGATACAAACTCATAAAATCGGTAAGAACATCAAGGGCAGCATTAGCCTTAAGGGTTGCTGTCGTAAATGCGAGCTCATGCTCCTGCTGGCATACTCCAGTGATTTGCTCAATGGTTCCGACGAGGCACTTATAGTCGACGTTTCCGACAGAGCCAAAATAGCTTCCAGAAGTAACGAAAAGCACTGGCCACCAGATGTACTTGAAGTGGTTTATCCCGCTACCTAGGCGGCGAAAGAAGAGGAGAAATGATAACTTGATAGAAAACAAGGCCGTATAGAAGAAGAGCTCAGCAATCAACGATGCATTTAGCCAGTTTCTGAGGCTAACCATGTATGTATCTGGGTGATAGACATCCAACGCGGCCTGCACATTCATGATATAATACATGTCCGTAGCCGCCCATTGCCATAACGCGGCGACGACCAGGCTCAAAATCCAGGGGAAAATTACAAGGCCGTCGTCCCAAAAGAGACGATGCGGGCCCTTAAAACGTGAAACTAGACGACAGACTAGCGTGATGCCCGACACAGCGACTAAAGCCCATATAGTGGCAAGATAGGCAGTATAAGGGACTGCAGGAGGGGGCATCACGACTGGCTGCCCGTCGGTACTCATTTTTGTAAGATTGGAGAGTATAGTGGTGCAGAGATGGGGGATAAGAAAACCGCGAGGTTGAAAGGGGATAGATCATAGAAGAAAGTGCCCAGGGTTACAATATAGAACCACGATACTTGAGAAGAAATTGTTAGGATTCTAGATGAGACATCTAGGACAAAGAACATGTATGTATATACGAGCCATGGGCTCGCCAGATAGGTTAGAGTCCCTCGCTGAACAACGAAGTTATTTCCATGCTGTTTGGTTCCACCTCGTGACAGAAATGTACCGATGGTGTTAGATAAGCCAAGGCATAAGAGGGGGGTTGAAGAGTGTATGTCAACGTACTAGCCCGATCGTGGGTGAAGTTGATAAGAATCAAATCGCGCTTCATTGTTGGCTTGGCCATCTTAGAAGCTGCATGACACTAGAGGTGATAACAAGAGACAGTATGCTCTCCGACAGCACGTAATATTTTAGCTGTACGCACGACATTCTGTAGTAGGGGTGCCGGGTTCATAAGTGCCAAGATCTAAGTCTGGTTTAGGTACGCGAGGCTCAGCTCAATGCGGGAGAATCTTGCGATATGCCTCTATTGTGAATCTTATTGGTAGATCTGATAACGTAGAGCTATTTAAAGTTATCTTTCTTGACTAACTTTGATGTACCAATGCCGAGATAGTGGCAGTGATGCCTTATGTTAGTCAAGTGGATAGATGCGGAGTTGAGCACAGAGTCCACTGTGGTAAGGCTTGATCTGTGATATCATGAAAGCAATGCTAAGACAAGTACACTAGATATGCAACAGTAACGCTTGTATAGTCAGTTTCTATTGTTGGTTATGCCTAGTGGATAGCGCTGTAGAGATGTGACACCACAAATGGAGTTAATATACCTAAGTAGTCGGTAGCCGAGCCGCCCATTTGCACGGCTCAGTCCGTTTACTTAATGCCAAGGGCACCGGCCTCTTCTTGGCTTCGCTTGAGTGTCTTTTGAATACATACCTCCACTTAGGAAGTACTGCTGAGGTACTTCCAATCTACCTCACAGGTAATTAGAACTGATCTGGGACTCGATATTGCTATCTAGATGCATGTAGGTCACTTGGGTACCTACCTACCTAGGTACATACCTATGTAGGTAATATGAGATCAAAGGCATTACCCCTATAGTATGTTTGCACACTTATTTTGTCCATTGCCTACGTTCTCTTCGCACAGAAAAGTCACAACTTGATCAATCCATCCTCCTTACTTAGCCAACTCTCATATCCTAAGAGGCCATGGCCGGACGGTACGCAAACCACGAAGAAGAGAAGCATTGCGAGGGTGCGGTAAGAGACCATAGGAACTTACCATCTTTGCCATCGTTGCAGTCTACACGCCTCTTCGCCATCATAGGCGGCCTTTGCTTAGGTACTTTCTTGTTTGGCCTTGACCTTAACATCATTGGGGTCGCCATACCCCCAATTACCACCGAATTTCGTTCGCTGGCAGACGTTGCCTGGTATGGCTCGGCCTATATGCTTACCTTAACTGCGTTCCAACCCCTATTCGGCAATCTGAATAAGTTCTTTAACCCCAAGGTGGTATATATGATATCACTGTCGATATTCGAAGGTAAGTTTGGTAGAAATAAGAACGGAAGGAAGGAAGGGGCTTATAGAGAAGGATTAAAAGATATACGAACGAAATTAACACGTATTTACAGTGGGATCGATCGTCTCGGCCGCGGCACCCCGGTCCGACGTTCTCATCGTCGGACGTGCTATACTCGGCCTCGGAGCGGCTGGCCTGCTCCAGGGGGCACTCGCTATAATCGGACTTGTCGTTGCTGTTGACAAGGTTCCTCTTTACATCGGAATTGTGGTCAGTTCCATGGCCTTGAGCGTCTGTTGCGGCCCTGTCATTGGCGGTGCCCTCACCGAGTTTGTTGGTTGGCGTAAGTTTCTTCCAAGAGCACATGCTCAGATGAAAATTTCGAACGTTAATAATCTAATTCCCGGACTTTTCTTAATATAGGATGGTGTTTTTGGATGTAAGTCTCCCTCTTTTGACCCCATTTACATCGTCTAGACTTTTTCTTTGCGTCCTTCCAGATCAAAGATAATAACACTTGACATAGAAACGTCCCGGCTGGCGCCTGCGTCCTCATCATAATTTTCTTCTTTGTCAACATCTCAGAGCCCTCCTTGAATCAGACTACTCGAAACCTGTCCGTATATGAGAAGATTCAGCATATGGACTTCTTGGGCCTTATCCTCTTCCTCGGCTCAATATGCTGTCTTCTGCTAGTGCTTACTTGGGGCGGCCAGGTCTACCCTTGGAATAATGGCCGCATAATTGGGTTATTCGTCGTTTTTGGAGTCTTGACAATTGGCTTGATCTTCTGGTTAGTTAAACGGGGGGATCTCGCTCTTATTCCACTTAGAGTTCTCAGGAACCGAACTATTTATATGGGTTCGATAACACTCGTCGGTTATGGTATCACCTCTGTAGTTGTAAGTAACTGCCTACGATCGAGAGAGTTGGCGGTGGATCTATGGTAGTATCCTTTTAGCTGCTAATTTATTTCCTCAGTATGGCTATTACCTCCCGATTTTATTCCAGTCAGTCCAGGGAGTATCCACCACCGAGAGTGGAATACGATATATTGCACTTGTCGGCCCGCAGATTTTCGCCATTGTCGTCACAGGAGCATTGGTTTCGCGATGGGGATACTATGTCAGTACGACCTGAAGAGCAAGCGCATACCTATCGTACGAGTTGCTGATTATACTTTTCCCTTCTCTAGGTACCATATATGATAGGTGGTGGAACGCTCTGTTGCATCGGATCAGGACTTCTCACTACCGTTGACTTAACCACTCCTACTATAGAGTGGGCCGCATATCTAGTAATAATCGGGCTCGGGCTTGGTATGGCAGCTCAGATTCCGTATACAGCCTTACAAGCTGTTCTAGAGTATGTTGGAATAATTCAAGTATTAAATGAAGAATCCACTAACATGGGACCATTCAGACCTGAAGATGTTGCCACTGGCAATGGTTTGTCTCTATCTTCTTGTTTCGTGTTACTCTAACAGAAGACTAACTTATGTGACAGCAATCGCTGTCTTCTCTTTTCATCTTGCCGGGTATGTTATTACATTCAATTATCTACGTGGTTGACTTCTGAATTAACTAGAAGAAAACAGTGCTATCGGGACAGCTATCGGTCAGACCCTCCTGATCGACGGACTCAATATCGCTGTGCCTCATTATACCAGCGGTCTTGTGTCTCCTGCTGCTGTGATACAGGCTGGAGCTACAGGGCTTACTGCCGTAGCACCCGGGGATATGCAACTCCTTCAAGATCTCCGCTGGGCCTATGGCGCAGCAGTCCGCCGGACCATTATTCTGGGTCTCGCAGGTGCTTGTCTAACCGTCCCGGCATCCTGCGGCATGGAGTGGCTAAATATCAAGCGGATAGCGGAGGAAAGGGAGCGCCGTGCTGAAAGTTCGGCTGAGAAGCCTCTTTCTTCGACGGAAGAAGAGAAGACTGACAAGGGAGGCCCTGAGTGCTAGGCTATTTCAGGATGTTCAACGGTAAATGAAGGGTAGATGGTGATAAAGGTCGAGGGAAATTGAAAGTGAACATTTGCACAAAGATTGTCATAGGGGAGATACCAGAACGGCGCCTTTGGCTCTCGGTAATAGTTAATTAATAGTTATTTGTATTTAAGCAAGGATTCGACTATGAAGAATCTACCTAAATAGGTGTTCAAAGCAGCAATCTTTCATAATATCATGGAAAACACTAAAGCACCCACTTATAATGGATATAATTATATTATCCAAAGTTGAATAGCTTGATGACTCTTTTACTTGGGAAATAGTCCAATGATTTTTGACGGTTTATAAGCCATTTCAACATTTACCGGCAAAGGAATTACCACTCAAGTGCCTAAGTACCTAGATACCTGGTAGGTAACTTTCAAAAGTTGAAACTATTTAAGTGAATTTAGTAATTTTTCTACAAATGATATTCTTGTAATTAATAGAAAGGGTGAAGTTTATAATGTTTACCTTAGGAGGTAGGAAAGAGAGGTACCTAAGCCGCCCTATTTGGGAATGTCCTATAAAAATGTCTTGTTAGTGCAGCTCAAGTACTACATAGGTTACGGTTGTTGTGTGGATCCGTCACCACTGGGCACGGACCACTACTCAGGACCCACAGGTCCACGAGTAAGGAATGCATACAAAATTGTAAATAGCTTCCTAGATAGATTCCTTCCCTCTTACCTAATTAATAAATCAATACTACGAGACTCATTCGATACATATCATCACAGTGATATTGTATCACGAGTCCTTGTATTGTAATCTAAGAAAGCACAGTTGTACCATTGTGGATCGGTTACTACCATAATTGTTGGTAGACGGCGCCAGTTATTTTGACGCTATTCTGCCTAGGCATAACTAATAGCGAGGGGAGGATAGTTTAAGGTAGTATTGTATATAGCCAACCGCATAGGTTCGCATACAGTTCACCCCCTAAAATAATGTTAGTTTTTCGGACGTACATGATACAGAACAGGGCTTTTGATTCTAAATAAAGCAATGGATATACGCTTCAGGATTTCAGCGAAGTAGCTTCAAGATTCCACTAAATAACATTATTACAGGAGGCGTACTATATTAGAATTTAGCACTAGGTACTTCGTACCTCGACGTGCCAAGGCGGGATGTGAGATCGCGCCGCATATAGTGTAAGAAGCTGCACAACTCGCTGGGGGCTACTTGTAGGTATCTATACGTAGTGAGACTTAGGGTCCCCGATATAAGAATAAGTAGTAGGACGGACATCAATGGCTACCTACCTCTCTTACAAAATGACTCTTGTCTATTCTCATGCGAACCTTACTCCTCCAGAAGATAACTTGCTTAAGGAACTCGGAGGACATGCCATCCACTCTCGCCCTCGTAGCTTTAGGCGTTGCAGCCATATACGGATTTCTCCAATTCGTCTTGAATTCGACGCAAGATGCGCGTGAACCACCGGTTGCTGAGAGGTCCATACCCTTCTTAAGTCCTATAATGGGCATCATCAAATATAAAACACTTTACTATAACAACATTAGGTTCTCTTTACAATTTACCCTGTCAACGAGGTCTGGTTCTGATAAAGTGAATAGGAAAGAAGGCAACCGACTCCCAATCTACACTTTACGTCTCCCTAGAATACGAGCATACATCATCAACGCTACGGAGCTTATCCCGGTATTGCAACGACAATGGCGAACTATCAGCTTTACGCCGATCATGGCCAGCGCAGGCCAAACAGCCTTAGGCATGAGCCAGGCCGGCACAGATATCCTCCAGAAGGATATCACCAGCGACAGCAATTCCGTCGTCGGGTTGATGCCAATAATGGCACGCGTGATGGCACCTGGGCCTTCACTCAATTCCATGGTCAGAACAGCAGTCAAAGTCATGACTAACAGTATAGATAAACTCGAGCAAGGCAATGAGGCCTACACTAAAATCAAGCTGTACGAATGGACGCGCCATGAAATACTCATGGCGACGACTGAGGCCGTCTTTGGGCCAAAGAATCCTTACCGGGATCCTACTATTGAATCTGCCTGGAGGTGAGTATAAACCTAGGTAGTGATACAAATTATGCACCCATCCTTTCTTCTACTACTTACCTAATCTTTTCGGAACAGAACTTTCGAACCATCCTACCTTTCCATCGCCATCTCCCCCCTAAAACCCCTCACCTCTCCCAAGGCATTCCAAGCTCGTGAAGTTCTCGCCACGTCTTTTGTGTCTTACCTTGAGAACAACGGGCCCGAAACCGCGTCAGATTTTATCCGCGCTGCACACACTCACCACGTTTCCCATGGCTTCACTACCAATGACCTGGCACGTTTCGAGATCGGGCATACGCACGCCATCAACGGGTCCACGGCTCCGACTACGTGGTGGCTTCTTTGGCATCTCTATTCAGATCCGGTGGTGTTGAATGAGGTAAGGCAGGAATTGGAGAGATTGGTTGTTGATACCTCTGAGCCCCACGCCGAAAAGACGAGAACTTTGGATCTATCCCTCCTCCCCAAGCACACCCCCATACTCCATAGCACCCTCAATGAGACTCTCCGCTTCCGAACCATGGCCGCGGCCGTCCGCCTTTGTCTTGAGGATCATCTCCTTGACGGAAAGTATCTTCTAAAAAAGGGGGGAATAGTCATTGTACCGCAGCCGTTACACCATTCGTCCACTTCAGCTTGGGGAGAGGACGTTGGACATTTCAACCACCGTAGGTTTATACCGGGAAGTGGAGCGGCGGGAAAGGAAACCGAGTCGAATAAAAGAAAAGCGTATGATAAAGCAGCATTCCTCGCATTTGGTGGGGGCCACACATTATGTCCAGGCCGGCACTTCTCGACGATGGAGATCTTAGCTTTTGCGGCGATGATGGTATTGAGATTTGACGTTGAGCCAGCGATAGGGGACAGATGGGTGGAGCCGACATGGAAGAGAACACCCATGGTGGCATCCTTACAGATCCCAGACGAAGATATAGAGGTCAAGGTCAGAGCGCGGGATAATGATGAAAGGCGGTGGCGTTTTATCGGTTTAAGGGAGGTTGGAAGTTCGGTTTAAGTTTTACTCGTGCCACGCCCCACTTAATTCTGGTTTCGTAAGCGTGTACCAGTTTTAATTGGTGCTTACCACCATTATTTATATATTATAATTATTTTTAAATTATATAATAAAAAAACCTTTTTTTTAAAAAAATTATTTTATAATTAATTTAAGTTTTAATAATTTTGTTAAAATAATAATCACGTGTTTGCATGACACGTATATTAAAGTTAAAGTTAATAAAGTTATATTTTATTTATAATTAAATAAAAAAGATTTTTTTTATAATTTATAAATCTTTTTTTATTTAATTAATTATATAATTAAAATTTAATTAATTAATTTTTTTATTATTATATTTTATTATTATTTAAATATATATTTATATAAGGATTTTAATATTATTAATTTAATATTAATTAATGATTAATTAATAAGTTAATTATAAAATAATAAAAATAATTTATTAAAATTTTATTAATATAACTTTAATGGCGGTAATAAAAGGTAAGCGATATAATTAAAAAAAATATATAATTAAAAATTTTATAAATATTAACTTTAATATAAAATATATTAAAATAATAATTTTAAAAATTATTAATATATATTACGTAAAAAGATTTAAAATATATGATAATAATTAATATAATAAAGATTTTTAAGATATGTTTTAAATAAATTTTAATGGTTAAAATTTAAAGATATTTAAAAAAATAAATATAATATTAAAAAATAAAATAAAGAAATATTTTATAAAATACGGAATTTTTATATTAAAGAATAAATTATTTTTTAAAAGATTTTATAATATATTAAACGCCGAAAACTTTTTAACGTTTTTATTAAATTACGTAATTAAATATATAAAAAAAAATATATTTATTTCGATATTAAATTTTTAATATATTAAATAATTATAAAAAGAAAATAAATTTAAAATATTAATATAATAAATATAAATATTAAAAAAATTATTATTAAAAATATAATTAAATTTATTAATAAAATATTTATAAATAAATAAAAATAAAAGGGTAATTTAATTAAAAAAAGATTAAATAATA